ATATTACTTCCATGTCTTATCATCCGCAATCGGGCGGGCAGGTGGAACGTTTCGTAGAGAGCAGTTTTCGTAGATGCACTGATTTGAAGTAATCATCCGTGAAAACAAAACCCCAAACAGTCGCTTACGCGCCCTCTCAAGTACTGGATAAACGCTACCCAAAATATTGTGAGACGAAGAATAAAATATGCATCTGACGTATTTAATTTTGAGATAGACGGAAATGCTGGAAGAAGGAAAGAGGAAAAAAATCAAACTTTCCTATATGAATCAGTTTACTCTCGAGACAGTCGATCATTACCAAATTCTGTCCTGAATCATGAGCATATGGAGAAAAAATATTTTTCCGGAATAACACTGAATAATCGAAAGAACAATTTACGAAACGTTCTCACCTGAATTTCTTGATAAGTTTCACGATTCATCCGTTGAATTCTAACATTTGCATTGTCTTCGTTGGATTACACTAAAATCGGTGGTGTGACGCACTTCGAAACCATCTTTTCCGGAATAAATAACGTTTTGCTTAGTTCGGATTGTGGTAAAACAAGATGAGACATTTAAATTATCAACTTTCAACAAGAAAAAAGAACTCAATGAACTATTTCGTTTGCCAATGTGAACCGCTTGAACTTTCAAACATTCACAAAAAGCGCTATTTTCAAATTTCATGACAGCGAGTGTCACGAACACCTCATATTTTCATTTTCAGGCGGGGAGAAAAAACGTGGAGATGTTCGCTAGATGGGTTCCAATCTCTGTTTCGTGAAAAAGCTGGCCTTTAGATGCCTCCCGATTGGGTTCGGCGGCTTTGTTGGCCATGATACAAAAGCCAAATTGCAGATTTGAAGTTTACGAATGGATTCATCCAAATTATAGTCATTTTTAATGATACAGATTTCAGAACGAAGTTACCGACACTATTCGTATTGCTTTTTTGAGAGAATATTCGAAGTAAAATTTCAGATTTCAGAGATATCTTCAGTTGGAAAATGTCTGCTTGGCGATCATGCCGAAGGGAGATAGGTTTGTTATTAGTGCTTTTCACTTATTTCTTCAATTATAAAATTTGATTTGCACCATCAATGCAGGTCAGGCTTTTCTGTTCTCAATTGTTATTAATTGATACCGGTGTTGTAATTGTAAGGCTGCGAAGAAACGGCCGACATGATGGTTTAAACTTCTTAAGCTCGGGTTTTCGTTCAAGCTTGCCCATTTAAATTGAAGCTAGACAAAACTGAACGAGCTGTTTTCTATGGGTGCGCAAATCATATGATTAATCATTTTCTCAATATGAGTAAATTACATATGTTGCGCTATTCGATGCCACGTTTCACACTTACACAATAAGTTCTTAAAAGTGCCATCCTTAAAATGATGGTGTTGTAAATAAGTGTTATACAACAGATCAAAAACCGTTGGAAATTTTCTAATCGATAGTTTTGGTCATGGAATTGTAATCAGATTCTGATATATTGGTTAGTGAGGTATGGAACTGGTGAATAAGATGACATTTCAGTTCGGAAATTGGTTCCATTTGCGAATTTCTCAGTACCGAACCAATTTCTGCCATCAGCTCCTAACGATAACTTCATTCCTGTAAGTTTTTTTTTTCAAGTATCTTCAGTTAATTTACTGCTTTTGTTGATCCATTTTCCTGTAAATGGGATCATAATTGATCTTTTTGGATGATTACAACCATAAANGAATGATTAAAAGCTTGCTCCGTTTAGGACCATAATGTGTGCGGTGATATTAATTCTGACATTAGTACAGTAATGTTACTGATAATGACAGTGATCCTTTTGAAGGGTAATCAGTCAAATAATATTCGATTTGAACGAGCAGTTGATTCGGTGAGATGGACGGTAAATGCAAGCGCTGATGAATGCATTAGGGGTCGTTTGTATTCTGATGGATGTTTACCATTTGCTGCTGATGTTATTCTCTTGAGACACTATGTTGCAAGTTAGTTTCATCGATATTGTTATTATTATTTTCAGTATGGTTCTTATTACTATTGCTAAACATTAATTTTTGTATTTCACTAGTCTTCCATCATCATAGCGAAGTGAAGAAATGTTCAGTCGTTTATCAAAAATTGTTTAAAACAGTAGCAATAACATCAAAAAATAATCATAATAATGGATCGGAGCCTAGCATCATTTTTCAGCAATATCGTGTGATCTTACGAGAGGTCGAATCGCCGGCGCAGTTGCGGGTGTTGTTGAAGATTTTCTTAATGCAGATGTAATGGATCTATTAATGAAAATTGAACGGCAGTCTCAAGCTCACCAGTTAACACTGAACGATATCGCCACAAAAACCCGACCGCTGCTCTACACTGCCAAACAACTACTCGAGCTTTTGGTTGTTATTGTTAAGGTTGTTTCGTTTTTTAAATCAAACGACTTATTTTTGCTTTCATTTGTTGACGTTTTTTTTCATTTATCGTCTCATTCGCCGTTGCATACAATTGAAAATATTCGTCGGTTCATTTCAATTTAAAAATCGTTTAGTTACAAAATCCATTGAATAGATCAATTAAATCATCGAAATTTTATTCGATTTCTTAAGTTGTATATTCAAATCCAGTGGACTTGAGTCGTAGTTGTAAACTCTATTTTTATTCTTTACGTATCTGGAATACAGCATACAATAATACAATCATGCATAGCAACTTCAGAAAGATTTATGTGGTGGTGAAATATTGAGTGAAGTTAGCGCACGACTTCATTCAAGTGTGTCGCAGTCAGCCGTCACCGTTTTAAGACGAATGGAACGGGCCGCTTTGTCACAATATTACGACCTTCTATCGTCGTGGATTCGATATGGCCGTTTAGATCAAGATTTTGCTCACGAGGTGAGGTAGATGATTATGGCATCTCCTTGAGTATTTTAATTCTGATTTTAAGTGTTCTCAGTGATGCTTTTTGTTTCAAGTTCATGGTTTGGGATTTGCACAAAACTAAAATGTACAGTCGTAGTGAGGTGATGCGTGGTAAAGAAGAACACAATTTCATGTCTGCACCTGATGGGTAATGTGTCTTTTATTCTTCATATTTTGACTCATTTATTAGTTTTCTAAATAGGCGAGCTTTAACTAATCGTTCAGATCTTAATAGTATTTATTTCAACTATTTTATTATAGAAAACCCAAAACTTTTGATCAGAAAGTAACTGATGAATTTCGTTCGTTATATCAGCACAACTTTTCCCACTTAATTTCATCTCAATTATGAAATTTTGTCGTTTTTTTTAAAATTAGTGTTGGTGAATCCGAAATTTTTTGTTACATTTTTCGTTGCATAAAAATAATTGATGTACACAAATAGTTGATTGTTGCGTAAGGATTTTTCGATTTGTGATTTTATTCGTTGTTTACGATTGAAGATTCGATGACCGTTATTGTGTCATCAACGAATTATGCCCATCGCAGTTAGCGTCAGCAGCGAGCGATATCGTAAAGTGTGGTAAATATTTCAACATCATTAAACGAATCAAAGGTGCGATTTATCTTTTTGAATTGTTTTCGAATTTATTCATTTGTTCAGTGTTTCACTCGTCTGTTAAATGGCAGATAACGTCCGATGAACATATGAATACTTTGTAGGTGAGAATAGCGATAACGCATGGTGGCTAAATGCGGACGAAGTTGTGAATTGGACTGAAATGGAAGTGAGTTGGTTAGAAAGTTGCAGTTTATCTCTATTCTATGTAGTTAATTGAAGAAGCTTATTGCGAGAGCACTGAAAGATTTTAACCACCATCTATAATACGAATATTATAAATGCTGGAATTTCTTAAATCATACTGACGATCAGAGTAAAAATTGTTAGTTGTTTGGTTTTGATTTAGGTTTAGAATTTTCTGTTCGTTGCTTCTGCCTTCAGTTGTTTGAAACTGTTGAATAAATGAAGGAATGCGTCAGTAAATTTTAGGAGGAAGATGTAGTAAATCACATTCGACAAACGCGTATTGAGGGCAGTCAAAGACTGGTTCTGCTGCTTCGCAAACAATTTCATCTCGATGAACTCTTCGAGTAAGTGTTCCATTTTCTTCTGGTATTCTTCAAAAATCTGTTAATTTGATTACTCAATAGTTTTATGTTTAAAATTAATTTTTAGTAATGTTCTCTGATGCGCAAGCAATCAAGTTTAGATGTGGATAACATATGAGTGAATTGACTATCTATCACTATTATTTAAATCCATTGAAAGTGTTACGGCTCATCTCAATTTCAGTTCAATACGACTGTTCTTCTTGTTGGAACAAAGCGATTGGCTTATAACACTTATCGAGTTGTGTGGTGACCATTTGTTGCGTCCTCTCAAAGGTAACATTCGTTGTTGTATTTCTGTCATATACGGTTTATTTGTCTACCATATTTTGTTCCTTTTCAGTATTATGAATTTTTATTTCAATCTGTATCTGAGTCGTGTTATGAAGTTTTAAATTCAAATTTTAGATATTGTTCATAATTGGCTTCATTCCTCAATAACAATCAAAGAATAAAATATTTATTTAAGATGTTTCATTGAATTTTATCGGACTGCAATTTGAAGAAGCGTTGGATTTGTCAGCAATGAAACACGATCGATTTCGTTCGTTGTTCAAGTAATTTTTATCAAATTGATTTATCATAAAATATCAGTTTTAGAACTAGTCACAGCATGTATCAGTATTTATATGATCAGTACGCGTCTGTTACTTGATATATTCTCAATGTTATGCCTCAATCTATTTTAGTGTTTATTCACCTGTTACGAGTGAATGAAGTGATTTTGTTAGATTTTGAATTTTTAATCACTCCATTCGACAGCATCAGAGTTCGTTGCCTTTTAAGGGCCCCTATCTCTAGCTATTTGTGATGTGCAGCCACTTCTTTGATTTCATCTCAGATTGACCCTTGAGCGCTGCAATGTTTCCGCTTTCGTACGAATGATCAAAACAAAAAATGAAAAGGCAGCTGTCGCTACGAACGGTATATTTTCCTTCATTTTTGTCACACTTGAGCCGTTTTATGATCTTCTTTCTCAGAATCCTTCTTTCGTGAAGTAAAATTTTGGTGCAAAGACAACTGACTGAAGTAGAACATAATGAAATTNAGTAAAAATTGGATCATGAATGATTAATGTTTGTTATCGAGCAGTTATATGAATGTAATCATACGATCGAACACAATAAGCGCTATTTAGGCGTAACAGAAACTGACATTGATGCGGATCGTGATAGTTTAAATGGTGCGGATGCGTTATCGTTGGCCATCAATCTCACCTTCCCATTGTCACTCGTTTTTCCACACAATTTCACTCTGAATCTTGCAATTATATTCAGATATCTTTTTAGTTTGCATCGAGCAATATTCACTCTTTATACGTTGGTTTTATTCAGATTCATTTCTATCATTGCCTTTTTTCGGTATTTTTGTAGAAATGGAAAAAATTCCTTCGAATTATTTAATTATTCCATCGTAATTGGCCTGTTTTTGTTATCAACATCCATTTTTTTCAATTCATCATAGAATAAAAACTGCGTATTTTCTCAGTTTGGTTACTTCTTCATGGTTAATTTTGATTGTTGATTGGTTTCGTTCATTCTAGTAAGCAGCGATGTGATGATTTATTGGGAGAGGAGCGCGTTATGTTGGAATGGATGCTTCATATTCTGAATGCAATTCTTTCGCATTTCACTGTACATATTATACCAGCACTTTGGAGTTCTTTCGTGAATAAAATATCGAAGGTAATCCGTTACTTTCCATATTAGGTTAAAAATACTTTCGGTTCATCGGGTTCATTCACTGTTTATTACGCAAGCATTTATCTCCATCTATGTGTTTTATAACAATCATGTTTTTAGATTTTTTGCTGCAAAAAATTATGAATTTTCTGATAACAGCTTCCCGAAAAGACTACGTTCTTCATTTTGAATTACTACTAGTCTTGCTAGCTTGATTTTGTGATAATGCTTACCATAGGCTGGAATACATTCATAATTAGTGGAAAGGTAATTTTTATTTCAGTCGGTTAGTTTGGAGGAAGTTCTGATGCATCAAACAACGTTCACATCTGAAACAAACAGAGCGTGTTTAATATCGAATGTTGATTTTATGAGGGCGCTACGAATGTTTACTACCATTGTCAATGATTACTCCATTGATAAAATTGTTGGTTTTTCAAAATTCCGTATGATTTGTTATTGGCATTTTAAGTTTTCAGGTTCAGATCATCTTCCTCACAGCATTTATTGTCACTTTCATTATTGTTATAATATTATCACAGTAATATCATTAATGTTCATCAGCAATAATAATATTATTTTTGTTGTTCGAAGTATTTTCAAATGCTTGTAATTGTAGACGTATGATGAAGCAAAAGAACAGAGTAGGGCTGCGTTCAATGGGATGGAGGATGTTTTGGGTAGATCGGATGACAACATGGCTTGTGCACAGTTGCATTCACGGTTTGCTTGCTCATTTATTTGTTTCTTTACATCCGTTGTTGTTACTTTATGGGGTAGTTAATTTATGGATTATGTTTTTTCGAATAAATGAACGGTGACAAATAATTCAGTACCATTATGACAAATAATGGACTGTTATCGCTTTTTTATAAACTGATAAACATTCATTTGTACATGGGAATTAAATGCTTTAGGGGATGGAATTTTTATTTTTGTTCTTCTCGCTTATCTTTTGTGCAGTGATAAGAAAGAAAATTGCACTT